ATATAATAAATACAAGCATGTAAGAATTTTTAAAGCTATACAAACATACTTAAAAATGCAAAAAGTAAATAAATGTAAAATAATTTAAAATTTGAATGTAAAATAAACTTACTTGACACCATTGGTGGGGGAGCGGTTATGTAAGCATGTAAGTAAATACAAGCATGTAAGAATTTTTAAAGCTATACAAAACATACTTAAAATGCAAAAAGTAAATAAATGTAAAATAACTAAAAAGTTGAAAGTAAAATAAACTTACTTGGCATCATTGGTGGGGGGAGCGGTTACGGCGATTACTAGGAGATAGTAATCACCGTGGCTACTAAGGGCAAATCGAGTATGAAAATATTTATTAATTATCCGTTTTAATAAATTATATTTTAGGAAGTTACAGGAACACATTAATTAAAAAAAATTCTCTCTTTCTCTCAATTACGTAATCTTCATCCAGATCTTTCTTCCTTCTTTTTCTCAATTTTTTTCTTGACTCCATTTAATCGAACTAATACCACTGCTAAAATAAATTAAGCAATCAATACCAATCTATTAAACTAACACTACCTATTCAAAAAACATCAATACCATTATATAAATAAAACAAAAAATCAATACAAAAACATAAACACTACCACTGCAGCCTACGCAAAATACTACCACTACCATTATCACATATACCACTTATTAACCAATATCCTTTTAAATTTAACCAATACCAATACAATACATGAAGATCAATAACAATAACATAATCAATACAAAAAATACCATTATATGATAATCAATACAGATGCGGAAAAAAAAAACAATACAACTGCGGAAAAAGCAATACCAATATGAAAAAGTACATACCAATAGGAAAAAGTCAGATATGAAATTTGACGAAGAATTTCCAGGACGTCCTTGATGTCGTACAAGCGGTAAAACGTTGGCAACAAATTCTCGCCGTAAAAAGAGAGAAAAGAGGGGATGTGTAGGATGGGATGGTGAGGGGTGGTGATAAGAGGAGATGAGGGAGGGAGCGGGGGTGAGGGAGGAGGGGTGGGGTTGGTGAAAGGACAGAGGGAGGAAGGGTCGGTGGGGTGGGGTGGTGAGAGGAGGGGCGCACAGAGGGAGGGGAGGTCGTCGGAGAGGAGGAAGAAGACGCTAGTGAGAGAAGGTGGCGGGGAGTCACCTGGGAAGAGAGTGAGAGAGAGGGCAACGACTGAGTTGTAAGAGAGTAGAATGGGGATACGTAAGTTTAAAAAACAATAATTATATGTGGTATTTTTTTCAAAATTATCTTTATAGCAATCTTCACCGTCAAGCTTAAAAATAGGAGAAATAAGGAAAATAAATGGTGTAGATTTTGATAACCACGCTAACTCATCCCCATAAGGAGCATCTCGGAGCGAACAATGGAAGATGCTCTCATTCCTAGAGCTGGAGGATGAACATAGCACCACCATCTTATTTCGCACCCATCTTCGTGCATATACACAGCTCTCTATAGACCGTCGCTAACAAGGTCGACCACCGACTCTTTCTCCCAATCACTTCTCAATCACCAAGGAGAAACGATAACCACGTGTCATGTATCCACCTATTCTCCTTGTTCGGAAACATGAATCAAACAACCAAGGTAATGAGGTAAACGCGTGCATACCGCTCCACTTGTTCTTCGGTGGTGTTTGCATTGATCTCAAAATTTTCTTGGATGTGATGAACAAGCAATGAGATCGATATTTGCACCATTCAACGGTGCATGTCCCCGTCCTTAGAGTGGCGTCGTCACTGACATGTCAAAATCCAAACATTCCCTAACCAGAGTCCCCCAGCATTCTTTGGTAACTCTCAAGTTGTCGATGATGGCCTCTGCAGTGATCAGTAGCCCTGTGAGGATGGCAACGTCTCTGAGGGTGATTGTTATTCCCCCCTCGGGAAAGTGGAAGGTATGTGTCTTGGGGGTGCCACCTCTCTAACATTGTCGTCAATAGCTCGTTGTCGATCTCAATGGGCGCAAAGTATCTAAACATATCCAAACATGTACTCTCTATATACGACAAGAGTAGGTCATGTCAATCGGGGAAGCGTAAGGTCCCTCTATGGACGATGGGAATAAGTGATTCCTACGGGAAAAAAAATATATGCAAAAATCAGCAAGTATTAGTGAAAGGAAAGCAAAATACAAACTTTTAAAATACTGAAAAATTAAAGTTTTAGACGGTACAACGTGTCTACCGGATAGTTGTGCCAAATTGCATGTGAGCGATGTGTTGATTGCTCGGTTAAATACCTTGCATCCCTTGGCCCGAGATCGATATACAATCGAGGATCGGCACCCATCTATAATTTTTTTTGAATAAAATCAAATTATTTCAATTCCAAATAATGAGTAAATCATGGTTAAACTAGTTAAACTACTAAGACATATTTTGGTCTTGTACTATCTCACCGATGATTCACAAAAAAAGAGAGTAAATATACGACTAATTTTTTTTAACATAGACAAGCGAGCGAAAGCTCAATAACATAGTCAGAGAACATAAGAAACCCACGGGCGGTAATCGACCAATAGTCGAACTCCCGATGAAAGAGCTTGATTGGCCACAAGATGGGCAGCTCTATTAAAACAACGAGGAGAAAAAGAACAGGAGCAAACCTCAAAGCGTCCCGCGAGCTGACGAACGTCCTCCAATATAACTCCTCCCAAGTCATGTGATGCATTCCCGAACAGGACCCGTCGTAGAACCAATTGATTATCGCCATAGAAAGCAACACGAAGAAACCATGAGTTAGACACCAACTTAACCAATATCGCAGAGTGAGCAACTCCATAAGGAAAGAATCATAGATACCAGCATAGTACTCACCGAATGCAAAAGTGAGGCCACCAGCTAGGTCAAAGCCAACGAATCTAGTACCTCCTCCATGGCCGCGTCTGGCGATACCATGGAACGAACTGATATTAGCGGCGACTGGAGTGGAGCGCAGACCGGGAGGCGTGGGAAGAGAACTCCTGATATTTGAGAAACCTCTTGTGCACTCGATGCTCGTGTGGACGAAGGACCAGAACCAGCGGAGTTTGGTTGATCCTGCTTGGCGGCACGCCATTCATCAACCTGGGCAACAAAGTATCGGCACAACGCATGAGCCAAATATTGTATACCACCATGAACAGACCAGCAACTCCCTTTCCAAATACGCCAACAAAGGAAAACAATCTCTGCCACTTGCAATTTAGACAAATGAAGTGAAAAGAAAAGGCACTTTCAAGCATCATCGGGATTAAGTGAAACCAAGGAATTGCGGAGAGTCATGACCCACCAATTCCCACACACTTCTAGCTACTCGACATAGAAAGAAACAATGCGTGAATGACTCTGGTCCATCGGAGCAAACTTGACAGGTCATGGTAGATACTAGAGTCTTGTTGAGGAGCACCGTCTGCAACGGTAAGAAGCCATGAATTAGCCTCCAAAAGAAGACCTCCAGCTTCGACGACACTGGGAGATTCCAAAGATATTTCCAAAATTTACAATCGAAAGGTAAAACGACAGGTGGGTTACGAACATTAAGTTCATTAGTCAGCAGCTTATACCCAGATTTCACCGTATACTCCCGCGACGCTGAGTAATTCCATATATGCCGATCCGCCATTCCTGTCAAAGGTAACGCGATGCTGACAATGTCTTCAACATTTGCTGGAGTGAATAATCCTTCCAAAATAGGCACCTGCCAAGTTCGCGTGCTGCTGCAAATAAGATCAGCTACCCTTAAAGGCACCGAAGATATTCCTAGGAGAAGAGATGGAGATGATGGTGGGGCGTTAGGTATGCAATGTTCGTCCATAACACGGATCGAGGAACCATCACCTAACTGCCATCGAAGCCCTCGTTTAAGAAGGTATCTGCCTTCCAGAACTCCCAGCCACACCCATGACGGGCGGTTACCTGCCTTAGCATCAAGAAAATGGTTGTGCGGATGGTAGCGAGCTTTGTATATCTTTGCCAAACATCCAACCGGGTTGAGAAGAACGCGCCAGGCTTGTTTGGCAAATAACACAACATTGAATCTGTCGAAATCACGAAATCCAAGTCCCCACAAAACTTACTCTAGCATGCAGCCGACCATGAGAGCCAACGAATACCATTCTCTTTATCCTGTACTTCCCACCAATACCTCGCCAACAAGCTATTGCATCAACGACAAGTCCATGAGGGGAGGCGGAAAGTAGACATAGAATAGATTGGCTTGCAGATCCCACTGCTTTGTTGACCACTTCTTTTCTTGCAAGAGAGAGAGAGAGAGAGAGAGATTTGGACTTCCAGCTTCTTATGCGATTCGCTAGGCCCTCCTCTACAAACTGAAAAGTTTAAGTCTTTGATCTTTGCACTTGAGATGGAAGTTCAAGGTACTTGTCACCCACTTCCATCGTTGCCACCCTCAAGTATGAAGTGAGGGCTGCTAACTCCGGATCTGAAACATTCCTACTAACATAAATTGCATATTTATGTAAGTTAACCCGCTGGCCACTCATGGCCTCGTTATCAGAAAACAAGTTCAGTAGGGAAGCACATTCAGGGAGGGAAGCACGCAAAAACAAGTAAGAATCGTCAGCGAAAAAGAGGTGGGAAATGACAGGGGCTAGTCTATGCACTCACAATCAATGGAGGGACAAAGCAGTAAGTTCTTACCTTATTTTGGTTGAAAAAGCCTCAAAGTATAGCGCAAAAAGCAAGGGAGACAGAGGGTCACCTTGACGAATACCACGTTGTGGTCAAAAGTAGTCGCAGTCCACCCCATTCATAAGAATTGAGAAGTTAACTAGGGTGATACACGACTCAATCCAGTGTATCCAACGCGCCCCGAATCCCATTTTCTGCAAAGCAGCAAAGAGGAATTTCCACTCAACCCGGTCGTATGCTTTCTCCATATCCAGCTTGAGCGCCATCCACTTCTCTTTGCCCTGCGCTTTAGTTTTCAGGATTTGAATTATTTCTTGGGCTATTAGGATATTATCTAAGGTAGAATGACCTTTAATGAGCCCATTTTGATATGGGCTAACAATAACCGGCAGAATGAGGCTTAGTCAAGAAGCCAAGATTTTCACAATAATCTTGTAAAGAACCTGGCATAGACTGATGGGGCGCATTTGTCACATGGTCTCCGCATTTGTCACCTTTGGTATGAGGGCTAACCAGGTATGGTTAATGCTGTGAAGTAGCCTACCCGAAGAAAAGAATGATAAGACAACCGCACTAACATCCTGTTCCACTTCAGACCAGTATCGTTGAAATAAGGCCATCGTGAAACCATCAGAGCCAGAACCTTAATTCTTCCCGATGCTGAAAACAGCCTTACGAATCTCGGCCGGAGTGACCTGTGTAATCAAATCTTCATTCAAGCATCATTCACCACTCTAGACAGCCCCAAACTTCTACCAAAATCACTAGGGTCAATTCCATTTGAGGTAAATAATGTTTTGTAAAAGGATACAACCACTGAAGCTTTGTCCTCCTCATTACTGTGCACCTGGCCTTGTTCATCTTGCAGGAGTAGGATGTATTTGGTCAACCGACGCTGCTTCTTTGCCAAGTGGAAACAGTGAGTGTTGGAATCCCCAGTGCGCAGCCAACCTACTAGGGACTTTTGCTTCCAATAAACCTCTTCTTCTTTGTAGGCAATTCCCAGTTGGTTTTCAAGTTCCTAATGCACTCCCAATCAACTTGTGGTTCCTTCCAAGCAACATCAATAGTCTGTTTAAGTACATGGATCTTTCGGGCAGAGTTCGATGTCCCTTTACGCGCCCAATCCACTAAGCCATGACGCAAGCTCTTTAATTGGGATTGGATTCTAAACTAAGTTGTTCCACGAACATCTCTCTTCCAAGCTGTCTGGAAGACATCCGAAGCTTCCAGGTTAGTATCCCATCTCTGATCATACTGAAAACGCTATCCTCGGTTCATTGAAGATTTGAAAAAGCGGATCAAGAGCATTCTATGATCTGAACCTAAGTCTGTTAAGTTGTGAACCTGCACATCAGGCCAAGAAGAGAGAACCAATGGATTAACCAAGCATCTGTCGAGTCGCTCGAGTATGTGCTGTGTACCTGATTGGCGATTAGACCACATGAAGGCCGAGCCAACAAAGCCCAAGTCCATCATGTTAGTATTGTGCAGGAAGGTTCAAAGCTGGTCCAAAGTTGTCGTGGCAAGAGGTCGCCCACCAACCTTTTCTTTCATTGACAAGATGCAATTGAAGTCCCCTACCACAAATAGAGGCAACACACATAACAAAACAAAAGAAGCTAATTCATTGAATTGCAATTGGCGGGCTCCTACATCACAACTTCAACGGACAAAGACTACTGCAAACCTCCGAGGAGAAGGATGTTGACATTCAACACAAAGGTAGGAAGTAGAATAAGCTAAAACTGTACAAGACATTAAGGTATCGTTTACTTGTGGGATTTGGGTGATGGATTTGGTACCCAAATCCCAAGCATAATGGAATTGGCACAAGTCCATTGTTTGCTAAGGGACACAAATCCGTGGGGCCCACGGATTTGGACCCATTTTTTAGATCCAAATCTGTGGACCCCACGGATTTGCAAATCCCACATTTCATTTGGGATTTGATAATGGAAGGCAAAATGTGAACAAATCCATCATGAATCTATGACAAAAATAAACTACACAAACAATGTACTCTTCCAAATCCAAAATGCAACAAATCCATCATAAATCCAAAGGTTTTGAAAACTCAAAACCCTCATTTTCAAATCCAACAAGCAAACGAGCCCTAAATATGACCACACAACGGCTAATCCGTTTCCCTTGTTAAAGCCATTAAACTCTCAAACTTCTAGAAATCCTAAGCTACGGACTTGGTCATCACCAAAATCATAGCACGCTTAATTTCGCTCATGAACATGAGGAATGGTAAAAAGCGTCTAATGACCTCCCGAAGAGACGGAACAGTCAGGAGGGAGCCCAGCCTGCGACAGTTCTAGCCTAAGAAACTCATATATCCGGCTAGGCCAGTTGGGGCTGGTTTCCTCCACCCTAGCACTACCTTCCACGACATTTCTTGAATCTGTCCCCGCCTCACGGATGCGCTTTGATGCTAGCTCCTCTGGTAATGGAAGCTCGCCCTCCTCACGAGAGGCATCTTTCCGTCTTTGTCCTGGACCACCTTGAGCCAAGAGATCCGCAGGACCTGCAGAAGGCGTCCTTCCATGAATGGAGAGAGTCTGCATCCGCGCATTGACGACTAGAGCACCCGACTTGGAGGTGGAGCCTCCCAATTTCCCTACCACAACGCGATGCCACGAAGACAACATCTTCCTGCGAGCCAACGTGTGTTCATTCACACGCGGCCCCTATTCGCCACTGACCATGTGCTTCCCATACCTGGGCGGTGCTAGTTCAGACTTCTGCGGGAAGAGTTGGCCGATATGTCCAATCACTCCACAGTAGAAGCAGAACTAGGGAAGCCCCTTAAACTTGAACAACACCTTGAATTTTCCTTTGTTGGAGTCCGCATGGGAAGCAGTGGTTTCATCCAGTAGAGGCAAAGTCAGGTCTAGCATCACCCTCGCTTGCAGGAAGATGCCAACCGACACCTCGGACTGGTGGATCGTGACCGACTCAGAGGGACCCAGAGAAGATGCCAGCAACGACCCAAGGCATATGGGACTCATCACATCTGAACCAGCATCAGAGCGAGTCTGCAAGTTCCTGTGTCGGGTTCGCCCAGGAGGAGAGGTTGAGCAAGCATTTTGGAAGAATCCAGGGGTTACCTTTCTCCACCCTACGAATTTCCGCGTCCGTTGAGAAGACAAACTAGATAAGGCCCCAATCAAATGGCCCAACCACCACTTCACCGACGCAGCGCCATAGTCGCATCATCGTTGCTTTGAGTGAATGTAGTGGCGACGGAGGGCCCCAGTTGCACCCAATCAAAGTCAACCCACCTCTGTGAGCTCCTGCAACAACATCAGCAATAGAGAATCGAACAACCGCCATCGTAACCAAATTAGGGATTGCCTTCAAAGGAGAAGGGGCGTTTCAGCGATCGCTTGACCAAGAGAAAGAAATCAGATGCATAGAAGGACAATAGGGAAGGTCCTTTATAGTATCCATGACGGAGAGGCCCATTTCTGGCGTCGCACGATGGCGGATGCCGGGGTCGACGAGCACGCACGAAGCTTTAAAGGTGTTCCACTCGCAGAGATGGGAGAAAGGGGGCCAAATGATCTATATATTTATTTATGTATTAAATATACGACTAATTTAAAAACAATAAATTACAAAATGAAAAGCAAGTGGGTACCTGATGACTCGATATTTACACATGTTTTTGTCCACCATTCTTGTACCGTTTGGGGCTCGGATCTCGGGTTTTAAGCCAATTTCACGCTAGGTTGTTCTACTTTATTAAATTTCAGGTCCTAATGCATGAATGAAGGTTTGAACACGAGTTTGGGGTCGATTGGGCAAAGACGGGACGAGCGATGGAGAGCAGACGAGTTGAACGGCCAGTACGGGAAAGCGCATGACCGTGCATGGTGGCCTTTTTGGCCGTGTGGGATTTACCGAGAATTCACACGGCCTGACCTTGTTGTCGCACTATCATGCACAATTTATTTCCTGGCCGTGATGAATTCTGTGAGAAGCTGTACGGCCAGGCTCTCAGATTTGCACGAGATGTTTTGGTTGCACAGGCAGCCAAGGATGTTGCACGGCCGTGCGGCCTGACCGTGCAATCGAGGACAACTGCATTTTTACCCAATTTCAAGTTTTGGAGAGAGATATGACTTTTTGGAGCTAAAATAGAGTTCTAGAGAGAGAAAATACAAAGAACAAACGTTAGGATCTATTTGGAGTGGATTTCTCACCATTGAAGCCCAGATTGCATCCCTAGGAGTGAAGATTGACATCCCAGAGCAGATTATTCCCATCTTTATGAGTATGACTGCTTTGATTTCTGTTTCTCTCTCTCTCTCTATGGAATAGACCTTTCTCTCACTTGGGTATGAAGAACACTAGTTCCATGTTTTAGGAATTTGAGTTGTAATGACTTTTGGATTGATATACTGTTTGATTATAATCGATTGACGTGTGTCTATTGAGTCAATTGAATCCTGATCAACTTCTTTTGATTTCTGCTGCAACCTGAGATAGATAGAATTTGATCAGGTTATTAGAGCTTCTTTAATTGATAGGAGTGAATTGACTGTACGAGAGTCAGTCAATTCACTGCTTTTGTATTGGAATCTGTTTCCAGTAGTGGAGTTCTGGACTACCAGAGCCGCAAACATGAGGTCGCCCATCCAGCACCCTCAAGTTCCATCTAACAGCTTCGAGATGAACACCTTTGTCATGACCATGCTGCGCGACTCAGTGGTATTCCGTGGAAAGGAGGGGGAGTGTCCCAGATTGCACCTACGGCGATTCCACGAGCTGATCGATGGGATCAAGATAAATGGGGTCCCTGCCGATGCCATCCAACTGAGATACTTTTCATTCACTCTGGAGGGGCAGGCCAAGGAGTGGCTGGACACTCGGCCTCTGGGATCGATCACTACGTTCGCCAACCTGGCGGACAAGTTCCTCACCCGCTATCATCCTCCATCAAAGACGGCAGACCTGCAGAAGCAGATCACTCATTTTGTCAAAGAGGAAGATGAAACCATTCAGAATGCTTGAGAAAGATATACCCGTCTCTTCCTAAAGTGTCCCAATCATGGTTTCAATGACGCCTTCAAGATGGACACCTTGTACCACGCCCTCTTCCCAGAAGACAAGCAGTTGATTGACTCGGTTTGCAGCAGGAACATGCTGACCAAGACGCCACTGCAGTTGAATCAACTTTTCGAAGAGATGGTAGAGTAGGGATATGACTGGGGAACTGCTAGGAGATCGAGGCGAGTACCAGGCGGGGGTGTGCATGTTGTAGCCACCTAGTCGTCTGAGGTGGTGCAGGTTGTGTCTAAGATGGTCTCGGCTATTGATTGTTCTGGAATGGTTCCAGGGACAGGACAACAGCAGACAATGCGTTGCCAGTGGTGTGAGAGCTCCCATCATACTGTGGAAGACTGTCAGGATATGATGAAGTCGACTACACCCAGGATCAGTTGGACTTTATCGGCATTGTCAGGTGTTTCGACCCCCTACAGCAACACGTATAACGAGGGGTGGCGCCAGCATCCCAACTTCTCTTAGAGTGGAAATAATCCTAAGCCACCTGCTCCCAGGGACCTCCAGGCTTCGAGAGACCGCCATATCAGCCCAGAAAGGGGCAAGCTCTTCAACAACCAAGGCCATTCCATCAGCCGGGCGCAGCTCCAATAGCCCCAGTACAACATGATCTGATAGCTGAACTGCCAAACTTGGTGGGTTCCCTTGCCAATTCTAGTGCTCACAAATTCAACAATATCGAGCAGTTCATGGAAAAGGTATGGAGTAAATTCCAGGCTCTTGAAGCTGGCCTGAGGAACACACAAGCTGTTTTGCATGATATCCAAACCCAGCTGGGGAGTGTGGCTCAAGTAGTAGCACAGAGGGCTCCGGGTACCTTGCCCGGTCATACCATCCCTAATCCGAAGGACCCGAATACCCACTATAATGCTATTACTACAAGGAGCGACAAAGTGACTGCAAACCCACCTATCCTAGTCAGACAGGCGGGAAAGAGACCTGATTCAGCACTCCCAGCTCATGAAGAAGAAATGGAGAAGGAGAGTGAGGTGTATGCTCCTAAGCCACAACCACCGGTGAATGAGTATGTCCCTCAACTTCCCTTCCCTACTAAGTTACACAAAGACCGACTAGAGACTGAGTTTGCCAAGTTCATGGCAATGCTGAAGCAGGTGAACAAAAGCATGTCTTTCGTGGAGGCATTGTCGAAGATGTCCAAGTATGCTAAATTCATGAAAGATCTCCTCACCCACAAGAAGCAGAGGCTGAGTGAGTTGGTCACTGTGGCGCTCAGCGAGGAGTGCTCGACCATTCTGCAGAACAAGTTTCCGTAGAAGCAAAAGGACCCAGGCAGTTTCACGTTCCCATGTTCTATCGGTAAAATGCATGTTGAGAGGTCCTTGGCAGACCTAGGTGATAGTATTAATGTTATCCCCTATACTCTATACAAGAAGCTAGGCCTAGGTGAACCCAGTAACACTAGGATGAGTATTTAATTAGTTGACAGATCTGTAGTTCATCCTAGGGGCATAGTGGAAGACCTCCTGGTTAAGGTTGGCAGATTCTTTTATCCTGCGGATTTTGTTGTCTTGGACATCAACGAGGACGCATAAGTGCCTCTTATTCTAGGTAGGCCTTTCATGGCTACCGCCAAGCAATGTAGTTAAAATCGTGCTTTAAAACTTAAAAACTTAAGATTTTATGATTCTAGATCACTAAAACACTTCTACACAAAATCCCAGTTTTTATAACTTATGTAGTTAAAAACTCCTCTTTATAACTTTAAAACTTACGATTTTACGCTTCTAGATCACCAATACGTTTCTACGTAGAAACTCGCTTTTGACTACATTGCTGCCAAGGCTCTCATAGATGTGCATGATGAGACCTTGATTTGGAGAGATGGCGAGGAGCAGATACATTTTCCATTTCTAATAATATGAATTTTATCTCGCCTGTGCATGCTTTATCTCACCAGGTACACGTGACTGTCGTGTATCCTTCTGTGCCTCCCGTTTTGCAGGACTTTGCACCCCCTCCTCCTCCACCACCCCCACTTTCTCAGTTACCAAAAGAGCGGATTAAGGAGGAGTGGCAGCCGAAGCGGCAGGTAGCTAAGCCTGCTCATAAAAAGCTGGAGACCACTATGAGATGGTCCCGACTCCTGAGCCACGACTGCCCTGGCCATCCGAGTATCCACTCACTTGCATCCTGCCGGATGCCCAAGTCGAGCTGACATGTGCTGGTGGTCACACCCATTGTGTGCATGGCTACCATCTGAATTTGTACCTCAAGAGCGATGTGGATCCGCTCTTGGAGGCACCTGTTCCTATACCGTTCTGAGCATCCACCTCTGCATCCAACTAAAGATGTAAAAGAAGCGTTTGTGCGGAGGCAACCCCACCACGGTTTGTTTTGCTTTTGTTTCTTTTTGGATTTTCCACTTGGAACTATGGTTTCTATTACCCATTGTATTTTGATGACTCTCGCTGGGTGCCTTTCCCCTGGTCCACCTTCCAGTCTGCCCCTGCTGACTAGTCCCATTTCCAGTCCCCCCGACAGTTCGTTTTCTCGGTAACATCATTCCCCTTATCTTTCCCTCTTATCCATTGAGGGCAATCTCGTGCTTATGTGTGTGTGTGTGGGGGGGGGGGGGGGTTACCTTTGACTGCATAGATGAGTTTGTGTGCTTGGAGCCTAGCCCACTGTCCAATTTGATGAATTGAGGGCTCCAAGTACTGTTCCTTGCAATAACCTGCTCAGCATGCTTTGAATTGACAGCCTTTATGGTGATATGAAACCTAGGGAGGTAGTTGTAGCACTCTGGAGGATGTTGAAGTATAAGATTTTTCCTATCTGTCTCTTTGCTATGCCGGTTGATTTTGTGAACTAGTAGATTTAGGACCATTGATTCATGTGGTACTGATGACTCTCCTTATGTTGTGTTGTGGACTCATGTATCGGAAAAGGGTGATCAAGTGTGAAATGAAAAAGCAGTTGGTCCTTCATGTAAAAAATTTGAAAATTTTAAAACATGGGGTAAGTGACACGCCAAAACACAACACCAAACTGCGACCAAGTGTAATCGTAGTCCGGGAATGCAGTAAAGTGGCAAGTTCTAAATATCAACCCGGGGTCTAGATCTACTGCCTACTCTGTGATGATCTATTATCTAGCAAACTAAGTCGATTGAATTTGGTCTTAACTGAAAGCAGAAAGAAAGCAAGAATTGATTCGGTTTTCTGAAGCAAAGGAAGAGTCACTCGGGAATTAGTCCCCCTAGCTCCTTAGTTAGGTCTCAGTTGTAATTACCCTGGGTTGATTTACTGTTGATTAAACTGCGAAAGATCCGACAGTAGCTTGGAATCTCTTAAGCTGACCAAGCCCTCTTAGTCTAACTACCCGGCAGACGACTAGTCTTCACCGGGATAGAAAGCTGAAGCAATAAGCACAGAACTCCACTACTGGAATTGGATTCCAATACAAAGCAGTAGAGTGGCTAACTCTCGTATAACCAATCCACTACTAACGAATGATGAAGCTCTAACAACCTAATCAGATTCTATCTATCTCAGGTTGCAGCAGAAATCAAGAAAAGTTGATCAGACTTCAATCAATTCAATGAATCATGCATCATTCGATTAAAACCAAACAGTATAATCATCCCAAGTCATTACAATCATGATCCCTAACACATGGAACTAGGGTTCTTCATACCCAAGTGAAAGAAGGGTTCTACTCCATAGAGAGAGAGAGAAAAACAGAATACAAAGCAGTCATACTCATAACAATGGGAAGAATCTGCCCTGGGATGATGATTTTCACTCCTATGATGATCTCCAAGCTCGATTTGATGAAACCCAGCTCCAAGATCGCTTCTAGGATGTGTTCTTCGCACTTTCTCTCTCTAGGGCTCTGTTTTTGCTCTGAAAAGTCGATTCCCTCACTTGTGGCTCGAATTTGGGTTAAAACCCAGAAAATCCCGATCACACGGGTAGGCCACACGGCCGTGTGGCTTACCCAGCTGCCCGTGTGAGTTCCAAAACGCTACGTTCCGATTAAGTGGATTTCAGGCTTCCTACACGGCCAGGGACACACGGCCGTATGGAGTCTCCAGTATGCCCGTGTGAAGTCTCGCTAAATCCCACACGGCCACATTGGTTCCTTACACGGCCGTGTGGGTTTTATGAGTGCCCGTGTGCCTTCCTCAGCGACTCGCCACACGTCCGATCTTCGTCTAATCGACCCCGAACTAGCTCCCAAACCTTCATTCACGTACTAGGACCTGAATAATCACAAACAAGCACAACCTAGCGTGAAATCGGCCTAAAACACGAGAATCAACATCTCAAACGGCTCAAGAATAGGGGGCAAAAACATGTGCAATTATCGGTTTATCAGTAAGCCCAACGTGTGTGGCACCGTTCATTGCACAAAATCAGGTTTTGGAAGAGATTTTAGTGATCCCTAGTGGGATAGGCCTACAAGGTGAAGCTAAGTCGTCTCTAGTATAAGTAAAAATTCCACCCGTTGAACGATTTGCCTACTCGAGGATGTGTTTTTAAGGGAACGGATAGAGCTTCTGACCCCCCTTAATTTCATTGACCCTCCACACGAAGTGAGGAATAAGAGTTAAAAGAAGTACTCTGGTGAGCGACTGATGTGCAGAAATTGCTCTTGCTCACCTAATAAGGGCCGACCCGCATAAAAACTGCAGTTGGAACCCCAACAAAGTAAAACAAAGAATAAGAAACAAATAATAAGGAAAATGGGTTCCAACAAGTGAGATGAAATGGAAGAGCACCCGATACTAAGAATCCTTGGTCGTTAAATTGTGTGAGCTCCTTATCCATGAATTGAATATCTTAGTTCCACTGCTTCTCATGATCTTGGCTTGAGTCTAGTACTCGCATTGAGAGAGTTAGGGGACGTCTTAGAAGACCAGTTGACCTCTTAAGTTGCTAATTGATCCAGGAAATCCTCTACCGACGATCGTGGTTGTTTGTTGCAATAAAGGTCTGGAGAACTGCATTCGTTTGAGTCAGGTTTGCTTGAGGACAAGCAAACAGCTAAGTGTGGAAGAATTTGATGACTCGATATTTACACATGTTTTTTTCCACCATTCTTATATTGTTTGGGGCTCGGATCTCGGGTTTTAAGCTGATTTTACGCTAGGTTGTTCTACTTTATGATATTTCAGGTCCTAATGCGTGAATGAAGGTTTGAGCGCGAGTTTGGGGTCAATTTGGCAAAGACGGGACGAGCGATTGAGAGCAGACGAGTTGCACGGCCAGCACGGGAAAGTGCACGGCCGTGCGTGGTGGCCTTTTTGGCCTTGTGGGATTTACTGAGACTTCGCACAGCCTGACCCTCTTCTTGCACGGCCGTACACAATTTATTTCCTAGCCGTGATGAATTCTGCGAGAAGCTGCACGACCAGGCTCTCGGGTCGTGCAATGGCCGTGCACTCCCCTCGTAGAACTAATTCAAACATTGCGTTTTGGTTGCACGGGCAGCCAAGGATGTTGCACGGCCGTGCGGCCTGACCATGCAATCGCGGACAACTGCGTTTTAACCCAATTTCGGGTTTTGGAGGGAGATACGACTCTTTGGAGCAAAAACAGAGTTCTAGAGAGAGAAAGTGCGAAGAACAAACCATAGGAGCTATTTGGAGTGGATTTCTCACCATTAAAGCCCAGATTGCATCCCAGGAGTGAAGATTGACATCTCAAAGCAGATTATTCTCATCTTTATGAGTATAACTGCTTTGATTTCTGTTTTCCCCTCTCACTTGAATATGAAGAACCCTAGTTCCATGTGTTCGGGATTTGAGTTGTAATGACTTTTGGATTGATATATTGTTTGATTATAATCGATTGAAGTGTGTCTATTGAGTCAATTGAATCCTGATCAACTTATTTCGATTGATGCTGCAACCTGAGATAGATAGAATCTGATCAGGTTGTTAGAGCTTCTTCAATTGATAGGAGTGAATTGATTGTACGAGAGTCAGTCAATTCACTGCTTTTGTACTCGAATCTATTTCCAATAGTGGAGTTTTGTGGTAATTGTCTTAGCTTTCTATCCCGGTGAAGACTAGTCATCTGTCGGTTAGTCTGTCTAAGAGGGCTTGATTAGTTTAAGAGATTCCAAGCTACTGTCGGATCTTCCGCAGTTTAATCAACAGTAAATCAACCTAAGGAAATTACAACTTGGGCCTAACTAAGGAGCTAGGGGGACTCATTCCCGAGTGACTCTTCTCTTGCTTCAGGAAACTGGACAATTTCCTGTTTTATTTCTGCTTTACTTTGAACTCACCTACATTCACTTAGTCCCGCTAGATAATAGATAATTACGGAGGAGGCAGTATATCTAGGCCATGGTTTGACATTTATTACTTGATTCCACTATACTGCATTTCCATTATGCAATTACACTTGGTCGCAGTTTGGTGTTGTGTTTTAGCGTGTCAGTACCCTAAGTACGTCTTCGTCCATTTTATGGCAGAAGCCGGGCGAAGGTTCGACGGGTTTTTAGAGGTGAGGGTAGTAGGAAATAACTCAACGAATTCCTAGAGCAGAGGAGAAGGAGAAAGAATTGTGAAGTTTGGTGGTGTGGTTGAAATGGGGAAGAGACGGTTGTATTTATAGGGGAAGGAGACCGCATCGGACAGAGGCGGGGACTTCATAGTAGTTGTCCAAAGCAACGCCTTCACCACGCCCGTTGATAGCGGTGAACACGCTGTGGTCCACATCAGCAGTCCGCGTCGCCCAGCCCATTAACCACAGACATCGGATGCGGTGAGGCGCGAATTTAGGTTTTCCTTCCAGATCCGACGCTTCATTGCGTTCCACGTCAGCGATCCGCGTGCAACATCTTCATCGCGTCCCTAAACGGTGTTGAATAAGCTATGGTCCACGTCAGCGATCTGCGTCGCCCTGCCTAACCATGGTCGTCAGATGTAGTGAGGCACATATTTAGGTTTTCCTCCCAGATTCAACGCTTCATCGGTGATATTTTACCGCGTTTGATAAAAGACGATAATTCGTCCAAAACATTTCTCCGCGTTTGTCACAAGAGGTTTAGTTTTCACCACCGTATAAGAATGCGATGATAATGTTGGCCGCTTTTGACTACAGCGATTTTGATGAAACATGTATAGATTAGAAAATTTTAGTAAGATATATGTATTTTGAGACATTTTTATTTTTTTACTTTGGGAAAAAAATCCGGCTTAACATATCTCTTCAAATAACATCGTAACATTCAGGTAATGTTGATTTGATTTGATTGGAGTGGTGGCAGATTTCGCGTGCGTTTACTCGCAGGATCCCGGCGGGTCAACTGTCTCCCTAATATATGTCTGTCCGTCTGTCCATTTTTATCAAATCCTAGTATATCATTAATGTATTATTATTATTATTAATTACAATTACCGACCATTCTTCAATCTTCATGAAACGCACCGCTAATCCGCCGTTTCGACCAGTCAAGTAAAATTAGAAAAAGGGAATCGGGAGGACGAACCGCAAATGACCACGTCTCCAACCTCACCTGGATCGGACAACTTCAGTCTTCAGTCCTCCGCCGTCCTCTCCCCCTCTACTTCGCCTACTCACTTTACACTTTACAGAGAGCTCTCTCTCTCTCTCTCTCTCTCTCTCTCTCTCTCTTCAGTATACAGTCTGTAGTCTGTAATCACCTTCCTCCAAAACCTCAGCCAGCGTTGCTCAATCCCACCCCGACATTAATTTTTTTAATAAAGTTTCCACCTTTTCTTTGTTTGTTTTTAAATCTAATCTCTCTTTTTGAGGCCTCCCTTCAGATTGGATTGGTGCTATTCATTTGATGCTGTGCTGTAGCTCTTCTTTCCCCTCTTTCCCATTCCCCAAACTCTGCACATTCTCCTCCCCACCCTTTTTCTCATCACGCTCGCGAAATCATTCCTCCCTTGCCTTCTCCTTTCAAAATTGGTCATCATTGATTCAGCTAGCAATTCCCATCTGCAACCCATGAGCCTCCCCCTCACTGTAAGTTTCTCCCACTTCCCCCTTCTTTGATTTCAACAAGTTCTGGGTCTTTGCGTAGCTGTTGATCTTGATGGATAGCTAAAGGTGCTAGCTTTTTTCTCCCCTGAATCTTGTGTGTTCATTGCAGGGTTCTTGAGATCTGAATTAAAAAGTTTTGAAGTTAACGTTGGCTGGACATTTGGCAATGCTGAGGCAGAATCGGACCGCGGCGGCAATGGATGAATTGCTGCCTGGGAAAATCAGGAAACGGGGGTGTTCCTCGTCGGCGTCGTCTTCCTCCTCCGTCATTCAGAACTACCGGTTCAAGAGGGCGATTCTGGTGGGGAAGAGGACTGGATCCACTACTCCGGTCCCCATGTGGAAGCTGATGGGTTCCACTCGCACTCCCTCGTCGGCATCGCGCCGCCTGGGCTCCCCCAATTACGCCGCTTCCCTGCACGGCGGCGGAGGAAGTAAAGGAGTTAAGCAGCAGCAGCAGCAGGGTCCGGTGTCGGCAAGGAAATTGGCGGCCACACTCTGGGAGATGAATGAGGTCCCGTCGCCGAGGAGGCCGGAGACGGTCGGCTCGGTGGAGAGGAGATTAAGGAAGGAGGGAAAGGCTAGGGAGAGGGCGGCGGCGGCGGCGGCTAGGTCCGTCCATTCTGGTTCTCTGCCTCCCCATTTGTCTGATCCCTCCCACAGCCCTGTTTCTGAGGTCAGCTTTACCCCTTTGTTGATTGTTTACTTCGTGAATTTGTGCTATGCTATTTGATCTGCAGACAAGGGATTTCAAGGTTTTAAATTAGATACAAGTTTGTCTGTCTTGACAATTGGAGACGGATGGTATCTTGAGTCCATGCGTGCTTGGCTGGCTGACTGCACCTTAATCAGCTTGGCTGTGTTTGATGTATCCCTTTTGATTGGTTTTTTCTAGGTTTGTTTAGATGGTAAGACTGACTTGATAATTCTCAACATTCCCCTTGATGATGAGACATTTTGTCCATGATATGCGACTTTGTGCTGCCAAACTCAGTTTGAGAGCACATTCATGCTGTATACATGATTTTGACTTAAATCGACATTTGGGGTCATGCTTACTTGTTGAGAAATCAGTCAAGAGAGTTAACCATGTTGGTTGAATTGCTTGTATTCTAGAGGGGTGATCGCTCTGGGGCTGGAAGCCGCCACAGAAGAGCATCCTCGATTTCACAGAAGCTTAGGCTTATGGAACACCAGAGTGCTGCTCCGTTTGACTCTGTTAGCAATGCCAGCTTCATGGAGGTACAGTGATTCCACTTATGATCTTATTGCTTCCATATTCAGTTTCTATATTCCCTTTTTACGCAATGAGTTTCCTGTTCAGGTTGAGTCTAGGTCCCGTGTCCAAACACCCACTGGATCTACTACCACCAATGTGGTAACCAAAACCCGTTTAAAGGACATCAGCAATGCATTGACCACTTCAAAGGAGCTTCTTAAAATCATCAACCGTGTATGGGGAACCGAACAACGACCTTCATCCAGCATGTCTCTGATATCAGCATTGCACGCTGAGCTCGAGAGGGCTCGCTTACAGGTCAACCAGTTCATCCACGAACACCGCGCTGACCAGAATGAGATTAATTTTCTGATGAAGTGCTTCGCCGAAGAAAAGGCAGCATGGAAGAACAAGGAGCAGAAACTAGTCGAGGCTGCAATCGAGTCCATTGCTGGAGAGCTCGAGGTGGAGAAGAAGCTTAGGAGGAGGGTCGAGAGCTTGAACAAGAAGCTGGGAAAAGAACTCGCAGACACAAAGGCTTCATTAGCAGATGCTGTGAAGGAGCTCGAACATGAGAAGAGAGCGAGAGCCGTCATTGAGCATGTTTGCGATGAACTGGCCAATGACATTGGGGCAGATCATAAAGCTGAAGCTGAAGAGATGAAGAGAGAATCTACAAAGCTGTATGAAGAAGTGGAGAAGGAGAGGGAGATGATGCAGTTGGCTGATGTTTTGCGAGAGGAGAGAGTGCAGATGAAGCTCTCCGAAGCTAAGCATCAGCTCGAGGAGAAGAATGCTGCAGTAGATAAACTGAGGGCTCAACTTGAAGTCTTCCTAGGGGGAGCCAAAACAGCTGCAGCGCTCAAGGAGAAAGGACGGGCTTATCTGAGTAGAGCTCACTTTGCATCATATGGTGATGAAGTGGACGGCGAAGGAGAGGTAGAAAACGGGGAAGTGTGTGAGGATTTAGACACAGGCGAGAGCGATTTGCATTCCATAGAGTTGGGGATGGACATGTCCAAGAGGTCCTATAACTTCCCCTACCCTTCTGGAACTCCTCGTGATCCTAGAAGGGTGAAAAATGAAGAAGAAGAAATCAAGTACAGGAAGTCTATTGCAGGGAGAGTATCTAGGAGGAGTAGTTCTCTACAACGGAGTGTTTCAGACGTTGCTGAATGGAATGGGAAGAACGAGAGGGACGGTTTAGAGCGGGGCAGGTTCAGTGAATTTGTGAGGTCTCCACATGGGAATGGTTATGGGGAGGATGTTTATGGATATCAATCGATGAAGGGTCGTCGAGACTTGCTATTATGTGGTTCTGGGGTTGAAACTGCCCGAAGCTATGGTAGTCCCACACGGCATTTAGTGCAGCAGCAGGCAAGGCTATCAGGTCAAGATCGACCTCCAACTGTAACAGGGATCATATCAAAATCGAGGCTTTCAGAAACCAGGACTGAAGCTCAGAGCAGTGGTAGGAAATCCAGAAGGTGAGGAAATTTGATTGCTGGCACATTCCATGGAGCTGTGTTAATGAGAGTTCAGTAAATCGCTGCGCAGGCTTTGCTTGCAATTAACCTATTTGGAAACCAACAGAACTGGTGGTGGTGTTGTTTGTAGAGAAATGGTGGCAGAGAAGTGTGTGGGAATTGGTGGAAGAATTTAAGAGTTCCTGATTTTTGTACAAATGCAGCTCTTTAACTAATGCTCCTTCATTATGAAGCTTTATCAGTATTATAAATTTGTGTCTATCTTCTGCTTCTGGTGTGGTTGTTCATGTTTAAGTGCAGGAAAAAAGAGAGGTATTTTAGAATACCTCATTTGGTTGTTCACTTCCCTTCTTCTTTCCTTCTCTCTTCTTCTCTCTCTCTACCTACCATCGAACCCGGGACCAGAAGGCTGTGTTTATAACACACAACCAACAGACCACAGGGATGGCCGGTGCTAAAAACATTCCAACTACCATCATAAACTGTAGGCGAACGTTGTTGTCACTGAGCAAGCACACTCACATGTCTTTTCCAATCCCCACGACGTCTCTAGTGGGAGAGTATCCTTACCAGCCAAGTGCCCAACTGATCAAATCAATCAACTAATCCAAGAATCAATTGGGTATGACAAAAGGGACGTACTAGTCGGAGAGATGGCAGGTATTTTAGTGTTACAGCTTACAAATATCCATATGGAGCTCTAAATTGAGTTATTGACAGACAATGAAAAGCAAAGTGACATAACTGGGAAAAGGGAAGTTTCTACATATTTACTGAGACATACAAGTTTTGGAGTTGCTACATCTAAGCTGAACATACATAAATAGGGCAAATGCAGCTCCCGCCAGCAACTATCTACATTTGGACTCTACATATAATAGTGCCAAAAGGTCACCCTGATCACCATCGACTACATATCTACGTACATCTTCTGTACCAAAAAATATACACAAACCAGCAGTTCAACTACACCTGCTGCTGCTGCTGTTAGCAAGACGGCTGATCAGGGGAGTCCAGGAACAAAATACCTTCCAGAGATTACCAGAGTAACTATTAAAATGGTGTTACTTGCCACACTGAGTTACCCTTGTGTGCCTGTTCGGACTTCAACTTCCATGGCTGCTGCCTGCCCGGGCATCAACGTTGCTCTCGGTCTGGTTTATCCTCATGAGTTTGCTCTTTGCTCCATCGATTTCCTTAAGGTCTGTGCCATTGTACAGACAATTGGTGAGTTCAATAGCCAGGGATTATGCAATGTGAGAGAGAGAAAATGAATCGTGTTGCTTATTCATTACCAATGTCAGCTGATATTAGACACTCTCCTTCATGATCAGGTCCAGACAAGATGGTTCCCGATGGCGAGACAATGAAGCTACCTCCCGCACACACAATTTCGTTGATATCCCCATCTTGATCTGCTGCTAGTGGATAATCCTTCCTTCGACAGAATTGGTTAGCCGAGAGAACAAAGCAGCTGCCTTCTACTGCAATATGGACTGCTGCAGACCTCCACATCTCCCCGGGATCCGCATTTGGGGCACAATATATCTCAATCCCTGCAGCAGATCCCAGAATAAGGAAAACTTGGCAAGCAATGCAGTGCTCGGAAGCCGGCAGATGTACCTTTGGCATAGAGCTCATTTCTTAGGAGCGGGAAGATGTTGTCCCAACAGATTAGGCCACCAACATTTCCTACGATGGTCTGGTACAGTGGGAGTGAAGAATTGCATTGGCCTTCAGAACTCCATACTGCAGTTTCTGATGGCGATGGAAACATCTTCCTTTGTCGCCCTAGAATTCGGCCAGCTGGATCGAAGAACAACATAGTACTGTACAGGACCTTCCCTGACCTCTCCACTACTCCAATTACTAAGTACACTCTATGTTTGGCAGCAATCTTCCCCAGACTCTCAAACTCTGGACCTAAAAAAGTTCAATAAATCCCCAATTCAGCCCAATTATTTCAAGCCGGAGGACGAGTTAAGTGACTTTGATCGAACTAAGAGGAACTAACCAGGAACTTCAATGGCTGACGACCGGTATTTGAGCATCAATTCTTCATCTTTTGCCCCAGAATCAACGGGAGGCATGCACCTTGGATAGCCACCAACAAATGCTTCAGGGAAGACGATCAAATGTGAGCCATATCCAGCAGCTATGGCGATCAGCCGCTCGGCTTTATCTGATCAATGAACCAAATTGATCATGAAATGTACACTTAAGGAACACAATGACCTTTCTTGATTGAAGAAAAATGAAAAACTCATCAAATTTGCGCGGGAAAGGAAAAAAATTGAAGCTGTGGAGCTCAAAATCGGAATACCTAAAGTTCCAGGGGTGTCGAAAAACAGAGAAGCGGCTTGAACCACGGTCGCCCTAATCGACCTTTTCTGAATCAGCAACCGGGCTTTGGCCTGCAGGATGGGCATGCAAATGGGTTCCGGGTCAGAGGCTTCTGGAGCGGAGCGCTTGTCGGGTTTGGGTGTGGGTCCGGTGGGGAGGAGATCGGGTCGGACCCGGTGGATGAGCCAGTGGACGGTGTCGGCGAGGGAGCGGAGATGGAGTTCGTTTTTGAGCTGGACGAGGAGTGGGTACCAGGAGGTGGAAACGGAGATACTCTTGCGCGGGGGAAGGTGGGAGGCGGTAGGGCGGCCGCGACGGCGGGAGGCTGCAGCTGGCGGGGATGACCCGTTGGTTTCTCCGGCCTTAATTCCGGCAGCCGTTGTTTTGGCTGTACTCTTTTGTTTTGTGGGTGTAGGAACTGCGAGGACATGCAGGTCCTCCATTTTCCCTCGGTTCCCGTTGGGCTTTCAACTTACGAGGATCTGAGTTTTGAAAACCAACTTGGTGTAAAAGCCTAAAAGGGTAATGGTCGCTAGCACTTTTGCTTTAGAAACTTAAATGAATATCTCTGCCTCAATATTAACATTAAATCCAAAAATTGGTTGCTAGCGTTTTTTATATAATATGTATATGAAAAAAAAAATTTGGGTGGTGGTAGGATTAGAGTGCTAACTCATTTTTTTAACACCATACTAACACTAAACTCAACAAATATTTAATTTTCATTAGGCTGACTTTCATTAATAGTTCACGCAATCAATGAAGATTGAAGATTTTTGAACTTGAGGGCACGCTCGTCATTTTTGAAATTTAATTCAAACTTCTAGTGTCTTCTTCTTCCCTTGTCCAATCCCTAAATACTCGAATCTCGTGGGAATTTTGTTGGAGTTATGAGTAGCGGTCAACGAGGAGCGTATAACGCAGAGGCCACAATGAGTAGCAGGTGACCGACTAGTAGCAGATATCAAAGAGGCATCAATGTGTAGTAGCAATGATATGTTGTTGGAGATTCGAATTGCGACTGTCGAGAATGGAGTTGCGTCGTCGTTTGATTACAGGTATGTAGACCATAAGTTCATAAACCGCACCAGGAACCTGAATATGTAGACCACAAGTTCCACAAATTGCACTAGAAACCTCTCAATGCATGCTAGACTCTCCCCTACTATCACAAATCTTACCAGAATCGGTATGAGCCAGACCAAAAATGCCATATACCACAGCTAGTGGCGGATCTAGGGGTGGGCCACCAGGGGCCACGACCGCCCTCCTTTGGGTCCTGAGCTAGTATAGTACGTATAAATTTTTCGATGTTAGATATTCGGTGCAGTACTATTTAAAAGTCGGTCCAATATTGTTTGATAGTAAGATTTTGTATAACTAGAAAAATGGTCCACATGAATAATTCCAAATGACTACTCTAAATTTAGCCTAAAATTCTAGCCCAATAAATTTCATTTGAAAAATAAAATAAACAATAAAACCTAAAAGTCTTATACATAAAAGACTAAAAGTATAAAGTTCCTTTGAAATAATAAATAAAGCTCACCTTTCGTATCATAATTCCAAAAATTCTCCCAACCCCCCGAAAAACAAAATAAGAACGAGGAGGCGAATGGACCCGAAATGGATTCCTCACCTAGTTTGTCGAGCTCTAAATTTCTTTCTACTCTTGTGATGAAGAAAATATTTATAAACTTGTTGAGTTATCATTTAGATTGCTTCAGTTTAGCTGTGCACTAAATCATAAAAGCTCTTTGTGGTCTTTTGATGAAGAAAATATTTTCGAACTTGCTCAAGAGTTATTTTTTCGAGACTTTGAAGGCTATTAGATGCATTCTTTGAAGAATGAGGTATGATATTATGCTACTTGTGTGGTTCATATTCAGGAATATGAAGTTTTTTCCCTTACAAAATTACTAGAGAAGTTAGTGGAAACATTGATGTACACACAATACAAATTGATTTGCCGGTTGATTCGTCTAGTGTTGACATAGTCCGTTTCAACGGGTACTAAGGAAAGAAAATTTTCAACAATGAAACACGTGATACCTGATTTCTGCAACAAAATGAGCGATAAATTTCTCACTGATTGCTTAACTATTTCTTTTTATAGAGAGTATGTTATTGGTATGGATGAAGACTCTATTATTGATGAATTTGCTAAACTAAAAGATCGTCATGTACAATTGACATTGTAATGAAAACTATAGTTATCATATATTTTTGTTTACGGTATCTTATTTTCTATTCAAGTGTAGCCCAGTGCTTTACCCTATTCTGGATCCATCACTGACCATACCACAACTATCATTAAGCATTTCCGATGCACCAGAAATTAAATGTGACAGTGGTCGTGATTTGCATCCTCCAAAGTTGAAACATTTAGTGGAGCAGAGATGGAGTTCGTTTTTGAGTTGGACGAGGAGTGGGTACCAGGAGGTGGAAACGGAGAATTTCTTGCGCGGGGGAAGGTGGGAGGCGGTAGGGCGGCCGCGACGCCGGGAGGCTGTAGCTGGCGGGAATGACCCGTTGGTTTCTCCGGCCATGATTCCGGCGGCCTTCGTTTTGGCTGTACTCTTTTGTTTTGTGGTTATAGGAACTGCGAGGACATGCAGGTCCTTCATTTTCCCTCGGTTCCCGTTGGGCTTTCAACTTTCGAGGATCTGAGTTTGAGAACCAACTTGGTGTAAAAGTCTAAAAAGCAGTGTTATTAAAGCCGAGCAGAGCCTTTCAGTCCGACCGGTACGTAAAACCGCCACCCGGTCACAAAAACAGCTCGGAATAGTCTAAAAGCCGCTCCGGTTTTATGTAGCGGTTGACGAGCGGCCAAGGTGGTTAACTGCTCGAGCCGATTGAACCGCTCGTCCGGTTTTTGTCATTCAGCCGTTAAATTTAATTAAAAAAATTGCAGAAAATTGAAAATTGAAATAAACCAAAAACGTCGGGCTCTCAAACTGAATCCTTATTTCTAATTCACAATTTCGAAGGAAAGAGACGAGCTCTGATTAAGAAATATCCACTATTTATACTGATAACATTTATCAGGTACCGGTTCTCTAACGGTTTTTAAACGGTCTAATGTCGGTTGGACCACTCGTTTTGCCTTATCGGGTCATGCTCTGGTTCGATTCTGACAACATTGCTAAAAGG